TCATACCAACCCTTTCCTGCTTTATGAGGGAGATTACAGTAACATAAGATGCTGCTCTCTTATCTCCTACATCAAACATGTTTTAATGTAACATTATGCTTTTATTTGCTTTTCTATTGTTGAAGCACCAGTTTCCCCCAAACAACAAACCGACATCAGGAGACAGAGAGGTAAAAACTAAACGTGCTCAAAGCACAAATATTTCTGGGTTTTTCTGTTTTTTTTTATTTTATTTTTGTATAAACATTAGTTCTGCTCGTCTGATTTGATGACAAAAATTGCAGAGACAGGAAGAGGATGGAGAACAGGTTTGTTTCCGGGTGCTAGCTAAGTACGGATGGTTCTGGGATCTTTTGGATGCTTCCAGTTCCACAGTGACGGAACATTGAACGTGATATAAAGGTCATTCTGACTCCTGCTGCGTTCTGGGCATCAAAGTGTTTGATTTAGATGCAAACTATGTGGGACGGCGTCCAGATGTCCAGCAGCACTTCCAACCATTCTGGTGTCGGAATGTTTGACGCTGGAGTTCAGCAAATTAAACTTTTGCCGCCGGATACCGGAGCTTCAACCAATCAGAAAAGTTGATCCAGGAGTTTTTCTAGAGAGAAGCTGTCGTCACTTCTGCAGATATTCTGCATATGAAAAATAAATAAATATCAAGGGAATTAAACTCCAAAGATTGAGAAAAAAAAGCCAAAAGAGCTCTGATCATTATTGCTGCTCTAAAACATTTTTATGAATTATGACGAAACTGTTTATAAAAAAAAAACAAATTAACCAGAAATATTAAAACCTGCTGATGAAAAAATATTCGATCGTATTTTCTGGTACTTGCAGTTTTTACCACAAACCTTTAAAACTTTTTTTATTCACTTCCAGCCGATAAAAACGCTGTAGGTACCAGATCTGCTCGGGGCCCCGCCCCTTCTTATGACATCATCATATGGCAACTCCACTCGGACAAACTGTATTGCGCCCGTTTATTAAGGATCAAATCTCTTTTAGAGTCTCAACATATTATCTAGGGATGCACGATATTGGGATTTTGGAAGATATCCGATATGCCGATATTTTAAAACTCATGTAGCCGATAACCGATACCGATACCGATGTTAAAGCTGGACAAAAATAAGTAGTCATTGAAAATAGCAGTTTTGTTATCCATTTCTGACACTTTGAAAAATAATAAACTTAAATATATTTTCACATGCTGATATCAAATAGATTTTTAAAAACGCGGTATCGATCTATTTTACTTTCAGAATCTGGTGAAATTTCATCGTTCTGTTACAAACTCTCGTGATATTTTGCAAATTCTTGTGAGATTTTGTTAGTAAAATAGATCGATACCGCGTCAATAAAAATCAATTTGATATCAGCATATGAAAACATAATTGAGTATATTATTTTTCAAAGTGTC